AGCGCACTTTATTTTCAAATTCCAATTAGGACACTCTGCTCCAGGATACTTTAAATAAGCCAATCGAGTCCAATTCCCACGGTTTCTAAAATCAACCAACATTCAAAGAACATCCGTTCTCGGAACAATCCCCCGAGACAGATATCAGACGGATGAAATCGTGAAACCGTGAAAAATATTTCTTACGATAGAAGTAACCACAGTGCGATGCCATTGCAGCGTTAGTTCAGAGTAGACTCCTTTAATCTGAAAAAGTAACTCTAAAAGACGAGGGGGAAGAGCGGAAAGCACTCTATACTCTGTATACTCCAGACGAGAGGGTAGATTACGTAAAAAGTGTACTCTCTCTTTCTCTCTCTCTCTTCATTTTTCACACAGCTCCCGCGAAATCCTCAAAAGTCATCGAAAATTAGCCTCTCGTCGGGAAGGAACGTCGGATTAACCAACTTGTTCGACGACTTATCGTCAACGATAGCTGACTGTTTCGGAAGAAGATAACCGAGAGGAATAGAATAGGGTCTGACAAAACGACGGATTATTCTCCGCCTCCAGCTGCCCCCCGCGAGGTTTCAACCTCGCGAACACGTTCGCAGTTCTCGCGTGAAAAATGGGTCGAGCGACAGGGATCGAGCAAAGAGAAATAAATTGTACGCTCCCTCTCTCTTTCTCTCTGTCCCTCTCTTCCCCGTGGGGAACTTTCTTCAGATCTCGAACGAAAGAATTCCGCGCGACGAGGATGGGAACGGGCGATCGGTCTAAGATGGCGATCCCCTGCTGGACAAGACTGGCGAGATTTTTGCGCGGCAGGTGATAAAAATGAAAATTGAAGGGAGCCAGGACGTTGAAAGCAGATGAAATTACGGTCGGGGCGACGAAAAATATCAGCAAGAATCTTTCTCCTTTTTCTTGTAGATTATATTGGAGTTTAATTTTAAAGCTAAGTTGAATAGAATCGAAATCTGAAAGTCGTCGAGGTTAGTTTTATTCTGATTATTGCTATTACTATGATAATCAGTAATTTCGTGACTATTATTCCGATAGTTAATTCTCCAGAAACGTGAAAATATTTCCAAAATTAAATAGCATCACCGACAGATTTTCAATAAAATTATTTGTAACTAAATAGTTACAAAAGTAAATGATTATATATGTATATCTTAAAATGCAATTAACTTTATTTTAAACCACAAATTCATTCTATCTGATACCCGATTGTTGAAGCTTGTTTCAGAAAAAGGAAATGCACGATCTCGTTAACAATTGTTTGTCTGAGGTCAATTTCAAAATGGAAAATAAAAAAGGGACATTTTCGTCGTATTTTGCTAGAAGGAAAAAAACTTCCTTTTAAAAGCAAGTTCAGAAAAAATTATCTAACGTGTATAGTGGAGTAGCTTTGAAATAACAGCAGTGTCAAAATTGATTTGCTAAATTTCATTACTGACGAGAATATCAAATCGTTCTTAGAATTTTTTTTTTTGTCAAAAAAGATAGGAACCTTTTTGAATGAGAAATCGTGAAATTGCCTAAAAAAAAAAAAAAAAAAAATGGCAAAAAGTAATCGAACAAATATATTGCCCAATAAAGTTTTCGTTTCTCGTGAAAAAATTCCATTCGCCCACAAAAAAGCGTGGTTACTTTTTGACTAACCCGATACATCGAAAATATTGAAGAAAATTTCGACAGGATTCAACCTGGTGTCGCACGAAATTACATCGCGGAAGTCGCAAGAAAATCCATCAGATTCAAGGAAGAAAAGGCGAAGCCTTGGTCCGAGTTAATAACGGAGACGAGAGGAGCGTATTTTCGGATTTACCGCTCGCTGCATTTTTTTTTTTTCTTTTTTTTTTTAATAGGCAGCCAAGCACGACGCAAAGAGGAATCACGCGTTTCGAAAATGAATTTTGCTAGACGCGCGGCCGACCGAACTTTCCGCCAGGCAACGTCAAATGGAGGATTGAAAGAACTAACATCCTTTTAGTTTCGCCGTTGAATCTCATTTACCATTTCGTGATAACGCACTTAGCCATTTCCCACCTCGTCTCGAAAGTTAATCTTTTTGATACTGCTTCGTCTTTGGCCACTATGCCTCTAATACATTGCCAATGAAGACGTGAACGTCACTTCATCATTCCGACATCGTGGTATCGAGCTTTTGGACGAAAAGGTCGTGTTGGTTGCAAAGCGACAGCTTCTAAATGACAAAACTGCATCGCAGCCGGGATTTTCCAGCTTTTCGAAAATACCACGGCAACATTTCTGCAACGTGGAAAACTTGAAAATAACAATCTTGTTGTTACGTTTCGTCGCGTTTAATGGAAAAAGCTTGTTACAGGGGCTGAATGAGAGAAAATGCCGAAATCGTGACTGCACGAAGGGGAAGTTTTTATTTTGATCACCGTGTTTCCACTAATAAATTTTATATATTTTCAATATCATTTTCGTTACAATTCGCTCTGCAATTTGTTTGACATCCATCGATATCTTTTCACACACTTTTTTCCTTTCGATCCTCCGTATTACTCGCACCGTCCCTCGTTTTTCCCCGTTTTTCTCCATTTATTCGACGCAGTTTTTCTAACTGCGGGACACGGTATCTCGGTTAATCAAAAACTCGCCGCGCTAATTACGAGGATATCCAGATAAGTAGAATTCGCTCGGTTGAAACTTTTGTCCATTTAACGACTTTTGGTTCCACTTTTCCAAGAAATGGAAAGAGAGAGAGAGAGAGAGAGAGAGAGAGAGAGAAAAGAGAAAGGAAAAAGGAGCGTCGCGTTCAGTACGCGGAAATCGTTAGCGGAAAGTTTCTCGCGGCAGAATGGAAACTCGAATGAGATTAAAGCGCGAAAGTCGATTACAAGTTATCAATACACGGTGAGCATTTTTCCGAAGATCCAAGGACTTTAGCTTGGTTTAACGTTGAAACAAGCGTGCTGTTTCATCAAGCGGAATTTCGTGCACGTGTTTTAATTGGAAACGGGATCATTTGCGAAACGATTCGTCTATTTCTCGTCTGTTCGAGCGTTTAAATACGTTATCTCTCTATCTCTCCCTCTCTTTAACGAGAAGATGGCAGAAAAACGCGGCGTAGAATCCGTGCAGAGAGAGGGATTAATCTAAACGATAGCCTTTTACAACGAGCTGTGACGTTGTAATTAGCGACGATTTAACATGCTGCGAATTTTATCCCTGCTCGTCTTATAATGCGATAATTAATTGAATTCGATAACGAAGGGAAGCTCCACTTTAACAAATTACGAGAAAGAATTAATTCGAAAAAAAATTCTCAGTGAATCGTTCGATCGTTAATGAACTTTCTCAGCCTAAGTAAGTTAATTCTGACAATTGGCAGAAATTGATTTTCAGAAATTTATTTGAGAAAGGGAATTGATCGATCTGTTTACATTGATTTGGATATTATGAAATTGTGAACCAAATATACTTGGAAATAATTAAAATAATTTAAAGTAGCAGAAATAGAATACCTCAGAAATGCTACAACTCGAAGAAACCTATCGAAATATTCTTCAACTTCGAACAAATATTTACAAAGAAATCCAATAAAATGACTGATCATAGGAATAAAGAATTATTTAAAAGAAAAAAAGAAACAACCTAAGAAGCAAAGAAGGAATTACAAAATTCCGAATTAAAACAAGCTCAACTCGAACATCAAAATATCATGGAAGAAGAAGAGATGAAAACTTTTTTTTCGAGACAACCAACGAGAGATGCTCGTCGGCGAAAATTATTTCGATCGCCGACAACTCGTTCGCCGCGAGTTCCGTTACGAACGGAGAAACCTTTCAGACGAGGCGCAGCAGCCAGATGATGCCCGGGCAAACTGGACGGTGCAGTTCGGTGCTGAAACTTTCGAGACTTTTGTAAGTGCATTAACTTGAAGACTGTCGGCCAGAATTCGCGCGTACGCGAACGTCAACCCTGCCAACTTTTCACGTGTACACTACGCGCACCACGACACCGTGCATACACGTTCTCGCGCGAAGAGACGCCGAGGAAACTACAAGGAAACCCTCGGCAGTTTCGCTAGGCAAATATGGGCTAGCTTGGCTGTACAATCCGCGTAAATTGCCACGTAGCATCTTGCATCGCGTTGCATTACCGTGTCGATATGTACCCCTCGTCCTTTTCGACGTGCTTATTTTCACCGACGCCGTCAGCGAGTGGCATTTCGCGGATAAACGGAGCACTCCGTGAGAAGGCTTGTGAATACCAGTCGGTCGATTGTGCGGCTTTCGAGTGGCAGGAGTAGATTACAGCGCTTGGTTAGGAAGTTTGTGTATTCGAGGTTTGAAATTTTCACGTGTCGGGAGCTTGAAGGCCCCGAGAATTGATCGTTCGGGGGGAAAAGTATCCGACACGAAGAAGCAGCCACTTTTAGGAATTAGCATCTTTTAGGGAAATATGCTTTCGAATTTTATCCTCCAAATTCTCGAGACAGATTCCCTCTCGATCAACGTTGAACAAATAAGTGTATCTTTAGTTCTTTATTTGTGAAATTCTTAAACTGCCAAACCTTCCAAAAAAGCCTTCGGAAAATACGACGAAGAACAAAAGAGACTCTAGTGACTTTCCAGATTCTTGAATTCTCAGACCAGAATCCTCTCAAAAAGCGAGATAACAATATTTTTAATCGTGTATTTCCAAACGATTGAAATATTTAAATAGTTTCATATTATATTTTACATTATATTTAAATATTTTCCAAGAATTCCCAACAAAACGACGTTCGTCAAAAACATTTAATCGGCCTGATCACAGACGCAGACTAAAATCAGTCTAAAGCGGTGTTGTGAAGTAGCATAACAGAGAGTAGGAGTGAGAGAGAATGAGGGAAAGAAAGAGAAAGACCGACTTGTTGGAAACTCGTGCGAACACACAAATCCAGCAAGTTGTGGATAAAGCGTCGGATGGAAGAGCGCGAATTATACAACGGCTTTCTGCAGCTGCGTGAACCGGGCTTGTTCTGGATTTGATTGCAGGGCTTGTTTGCGAGGATTACCTTCCGCGAGCCGTTGTTCGTCGGCGGCCCCGGAAACACGACCGGCCTCGAGCGACTTCCGGTGAGGACCGGATTTAAGGGTTGCGTCCGGCATCTGGAAGCCAATGAACACCGCTATCGTTTCCCCCTCGCGCCGCAGGGCGACGCCGCGAATGGTTTCGACGTTGGTGAGTACAACTTACTAATTAAACCGACCTCCCACTCTTTCCTCCCACTCACCTCTTCTTTCCAGCGCTTCCAATCTGTGAACGTTCACGTTCGAAATTAGCGGTACACAACTAAGAACAACGAAATGAAAATTGCTTCGCGCGGTCTAGTGATGAATTTTAAAATTCAATTGTTGTTACTCGTTTCCTACGCCGCGACGTTAATTAATTTATCCTCCCTTTTTCATTCATGACATGTTCCCTTTTAAATTTTGCGAGAATCTTCACAACCTTTTTTCCTCAAACCTTTCCAAACTATATCAACTCTTTCAGACGGCGTTAAAAAGGGTTGAGACTACTTGAACGAAAGCTTACGAAAGTTATATTTTATTACTTTTACTCTGTGCAGCTTTACGGTGAGTTTGATGAATTTTAAAACGTACGAACGTTGCTTGGCGATGGTAATAACTAGCGTGCGAGTGTTAATGCATTTTTCAGGAATTAAAAGTTTCAGAAAAATCTACAGAATGCACGTAACATACAGAAATGTATGTAACGTTCAAGATAGAGATAACATTTACCTCTTTATCATGGCATTTAGCAAATGAAAGAAACGCCTATTTAAATTCCATTTCGTTAATTACGTTCATAAAAATATGAAACTGCGTAAACATCCACGGTCTAGTAACAACAGAAAATGAGTTTTAAATTAAATAGTATCCCTGGATTGTGAAAGGCCATAATATATTTATTATTTACAATGTTTGATTTTACATTCTTCGCGACAAAGATTTTAGGAATGAAAGCCTCGTACTCGACCCTTGGCGATACCAATTAAACTGACTCACAAAATTTTCTTAAACAAGATGGAAACGCAAAACTGAAACCTAGAACTGGAACGACGAGATTGAATTCGGAGTAAATTGTGCCTAAAAGCACAAAAAAACTCTTGCTTTCGCGTAGAGATCCGAGAGACCGCAGTTGCAATTTCTCACGCATGCACGACTTTCAACGCCGCAAAGCGGTCGATCGGGACCAAGTGTCGATTAAAGTTGCCACGTTTTTCTTATCAGAAACCGGCGTGAAACGGACCGAGGCCGGTCTATCGAGTGTCGAATCTCCATTGAACCGGTTCGAAGGAAATACGTATAATCCCCCGAAGCGTAACCCCTCGAGAGATAGCTTTTAAGAGCGATTCCAGGTTTCTCTGCGAACGACGCGATAGACGTACCACCACTTGGCCGTGCGCGTCTCCATTCTTCGGCGCAGAATGCCGAATGCATCAAAGGATCAAATTCCCGGGACTGAATTTTTTGGTGCTCGACTGTCCACCGGTACCGGTCCTTCGCGAATGCTGAAATGTGCGGCTTTCGTGGAGAAACGGATCAAAGGGAGAGGATCCCCGTGGATAATGCCAAAGCAAATCGTTTGGACGTCTCCGCTCGTTTCGCGAGCATGCTTGTTGGAAAAATATTTCCTCCTCGTGCTTTCCGGGGAAAAACGAGCTATCCTCGCCCTTTGTCTTCGTACGTTGTGCTCACTGAGTGCCTCAGTCGGGGAACTAAAGTTATTAATAACTGCTGTATCGTACGTAGCTCCACCGGAAATCTTAATCACGACGATTTTGCTTTGTTTCTTCTTTCTTTCTTTCTTTTTCTTTTTTTTTTTTTTTTAGTAAGGATTTATTATTTGGTCTACCGTACGCGAAAGACTTCATTAAATTTGAGAGTAAAGTCAATAGAATTTTATATTTTTCAAGGGGAGAGTTATTTTTATATTCGTCGAGTTTACTTTTGCTTGTTTCAATCAAAGTTGTTTAATACGAATTCGAATTATTTTGCTTAATTATTTAGTTTAATTAATTAGCTTTGTTCTGTCGAGTTTATCAAAAGAATTATCGGTGTATAAACGTATTAAAAAACCGTTTAATTAGAGTGAAATTGTAATTAATTCATTGAAAATTCTAACTTTCGTAAGTTTTATTTTCCAAATTTAGTCTCGTCGAGCAATAGTCTCACTACATAAGTAACTACAACTCACTGTAAGCCACTATAAGATTTTTACTAAATAACTTTCCCCGACTAACATTGTTTATTAATTAACATAAAATACCAGCCAATTTATCAATAACAACAAAACTCTTTCTGATCAACTCGATACAAACGCAAAATGAAATATACCATCTCGCACGAAACTGGAATTGAAATGCAACAGAAAACCCGAAATAGAGGCGAGAGTGAAGTTCAGGAAGCAAGAGCGTTCACAATGCAACGCGTGGGAAGTAACGAATGTGAAATTACTTTAACGTACTAACTCAACGGTGAGTGGTAAATTCCAGCGAGCAATAATCGCGACGATAAAACACTACGGCCCATAATTAGGCGCGTCGAAGTTACATTTTGCTCGGGCGGAGGAAGCCGCACGGTATCGGCTGCTCGAATTAACTCCTATATCGGCGAGCACACACAACAGGTGTCACATGAATTTAGTTAGAAAATCCTCCAACGTTCACTGTGTACGATCCCCCGATTTACTACGAAATATCCTCTCCCCCTTGTTCCAGCTTTTCCTCTAGCTTCAATGAAATATCAGTGGTAACTGAATTTCAGAAACTCTAGAACGCTGCTTTGATAATGCGGCCGTGTAAAATATTCGACGTGCGCCAACCGAAGAAACAGGGCGTGCAGAAATATTACACGCGCAAAATACACAAAAGTTATTGACGTGAATTTGATAGATGCAATCCAGTATGTAATAATAATTTCCTAGATAGATCTAGATTTGAGATTCATTCATATTCGAGTCTAAATTTCAGAGATTCGATATTAATGGCTGAATTGATCGAAATCTGTCGAAATTAATTCCGACAGATGCAGCAGACGTAATATCGTCGACGTTGTAAGCTACTGGAGCTTGGAGAAAAAGAATTCTCGATTCAACTGGATTCATTTTAATAAAAATGTTGAAACTTTTAGTTCGTTTCTTCTCGAAAAATGTTTTTTCGTCGTTTTGAAGTAAGATACCTTTTCCCTCGAAAATTTGAAAAAGTATCTTTATGGACGTTGAAAAATTTGTTCTCACAACTAAATCTATCATACTCTTGAAAATTAAAGTCTCCTTTTTACACTTGTTATACGATTTCTTTTTTCCACGAAATTATAAGAATTTGGAAGTGGAATCACTGTACATTATGTATAATAATTTCGATTCTAAATTGTAGATTCAATACGGACGAATGAACATGATGTACGACGAGTTTAAACTCGAAGCTGTTGAGTTTTGTATTTAATAAACTGTGTAGATATTTAGTAAACTGTGAATACCAATTCGAATGAGATTAAAAATTATTTAGTTTATCGAATATTGTAAAAGTTGCCATACTTGTTTTTCTTTTTTTTTTTTTTCGTCTTTAAATTTTCTCCAAACGCACAAAATAATGGGAGATATAAATTCTATAAAGTAATCAGTAGATATTTATGCAAATTTATACCTTCACAAACACAAAAATAGAAAATGGAGATTAAGATTCGTACTTTACATATTTATTCTATTTCCGTGCATTTGACTATTTCGCTGGCTTATAATTTTTTAAATATAACGTTTCTTTTTTAAGTAACAATGATTGATTTCTTGTTTTAGTGATAAAATGAACTTCTTACAACTTCTTAGAAAAATAGCCGAAATTGAGAAGAGCCCATCTAGCTAAACTAGAAATTTAACCGTTTTTTGCATCATCAACAATTACTGTTCAACGTTTTCCCTCCTTCACCGTCTTGTCCCTTCCCATTTTCCTCTTCTCTCAAAATTACAGACCAACGTTCCAATTTCGATTTTGCGGTGGGCTAAAAAATTTAACGTTGCTCGGAAACGCGACGACCACCGAACGAACGAACAACCGACCGAATTCCTTCGTTCTTTTACAGCCGTTAGTTAATGTAACACCGGTCTCCACCGTTACGTTCCGATGAAAATTCGTTAAACGAAATTCTACGCGCGGGAGTGCATTTCCCGTGTCGGCTAATTAGCTAAAACGATCAAAGTCAAGACAAAGAGAACGTTGCACGATGGCGCTGCGCTATGCGAATCGAGGGAGCCGAGCGTTAATTATCAAGTGTTAATCAATTACCTCGTTGATCGTCCCGCGATGGTATCGAGATTCCTTCGACAACGCGAGCTCAATGGCCTGTCATCGTGCCACCGTTTTTATCACATGTGAAATGAACCGGCGCCACGAGAGTCCATCACCGCGGCAGGCTAATTAATTGATAATTATTACACGCTCGTTAGAGGCAGCGGCTCCGTGCGCTTAATTCGATTCTCCGTGCGCGCGACAACGTTTGTTGATCGTTCGTCTCGGTGTAGTTTGTGTAATTTAATTTGAACGTACCGTATACACTTGATAAACAAATTTTGATAATTGTTATATCTATTTGCGTGAAATATACGTGGTGTTTAAATTGCACTGTTAACAGAAGCGTTCTCAGTGACTTTGTTGCTACTGGTCACTAGCGCTTTGCCAATCGCTGTTAGAACGTAAAGCTGTTAGAACGAATAAAAATATTAGATTGAATGTCAAAAAGGTTTTCTAATTTTAACGTGAATAGTATGAATAATTCGAGTGAATAAAACACAACCGTTCGGAAAATTTATGAAAATTCAATGCTGAACATTTTTCCAATTCAATTTCAAGATTCATGGCACAAACGTGAGTGAATAGGGCAACGCTCGGATATTAAAGAAGAGCTGAAGATTTCGAATTTAATTTCAAGGAAATCACGATACGAGCGTAAACGCAGACTTTCTGAAAGAGCGACGCTCGCGAGAACGAAGATAAAAACGACGTCTCAATTAAAGAAGGTAGACACGAGTTTCCAACGAAATTTCTCAAAGCAACACGTCGTTGAAAGGAGCGATAAAATTGTGAAACAGAAAAAGCGTAATATCGGCGTACTGCCGTGAAGGAAGCGTCCGATAAAGACAGAAGTTTCCGCGGAGTAAGCTGGTTTCGTGTCCGGTTAATC